TTCGTTAGAGGCCAAGGATGAGTTTCTGTGTATGGTGTGAGGGAACGGCCATTCTAACTCTTTCTCCTTGTGGCCAGCCAGCTGTCCCCGACCATCTCGGCCACCATGTGCCAGCCGCTTGTGACGCGCGGCAAGCGTCCCTAAGCGTGGTTCCGACGCCGGCCTGTGCCCTGCATCAGCTCCGCGCCGTCTGGACGGTGCCTGCCGTCGCTCAGGGCTCCTGCCCACTCCGTCTCCGTGCGCGGGCCGAGGCCCCAGCACCCAAACCGTGGGCGTTGAGCCAGATCTGGGAAGAACAAAGCACATTTCTCCACTTGTGTATGTCTTCGTGAACGTCTCTCCTTAAGGTTTTATCATTTCTCCTTAGAGTCCTTGTATATCCTTAATTAGACACCAAAGATCTTTTTTATTTACAAAAGAGGCAGAAATATACCGCGTCCCATGGACCTTTTCCCGCTTCCCGCGATGTTACATCTTTAACCGCCGCAGTGATGGGAAAGCATGGATGCGGGGCGACACTGTTACAGCCCAGTGTCGTTCCTTTATCTGGACGTCCCCAACTCTCCTGATGGCCCTTTTCTGTTCTGCGACCCATCACCGTGTTCAGTTAGCAGGCCTTCTCCATGTCCTCTGCTTGGGGACAGCTTCTCAGCCCTGCCTGGTCCCTCATGATCTTGACACTTGTGAGTACCAGTCAGGTGGCAGTGTCCTTTGGTGGGGGCCTCACGTTCTCAGGGTTAGACAGACATTCTAGGTTTGGAGAAAGAAGGCCACCAAAGTGAAGTGTCTGTCTCACTGTATCACATCAGGGGACATGATGTCAACACCCTTTGCCACTGGGGACGTGAGCCTCCTCACCTGGGTAGGGTGGGGCCAGCCAGGCCCCTCCACTGGCAGTTTCGTTTGTCCCTCTGCACAGTGTAGTCATGAGAAGCGTCCCGGGTGCAGCCCCCTGGTGGGGAGGGAGTTCGGCCCCACCTCCTGCAGGAGGGGCTAGCAAAGAATCAGCACACAGACGGTCAGACCGCCACAGCGCCGAGTGCATATTTGAGGGGAGATACTCTGAAGCTGCTCCTTCCAGGTTCACCTACTAATGTCAGCCGTCACCCGCAGATCTTGCCTGCGGCGAGTGTCGCCGCATTCTAATGGCACCTGTTCGTTCTGCATTTGCCACTCAGACTCTTCCGCGAGGAGCTACCCCTCTCCTCCAGCTATTTCACTTGTATCGGTCTGGATGCAGGACCATGTTTTGAGCTAAAATCCAATACTGTTGTTATTGATTGTGTTGTTCAGATTAGGTCTTCATTTGAATGGCCACTGGGTCAGGAGCTCTTTGGGGTTACTGGGTCTATGTTCTGTTCACTTTCTGTCTTTCCCTTCTGGCACTAGACCATACTTCAGACTCATCTTGTATTTTCCCTACAAATCACCCCTCAGCCAGAGAGCCCTGGTCCTCCCACTGGAGAATGAGTGGTAGTTAGAAACCTGAATCTGGGCCCGGAGGGTGCTTCTGGCTGCAGGGTTGTTTCTGCTCCCAGGGCCTCTCAGCAGACAGAGCTAGCGAACCTATGTGCGCACATAAGCGAGTATGCACATCAATAGTCGTGTCTGTACCAAGCTCGATGAGTTCGTACTGATGTTTCTGACCACAGGGAGCTCTCTCTGTCTCTCTCTCTCTCTCTCTCTCTCTCTCTGCCTGTCTGTCTCTCTCACACACACACACACACACACACACACTCCATTTACTTGTTACTTTGTTCTCCAACAGTGAGAAGTCTCACCGCTATTATCTATCATTTATTTACTCATTTGCTTGGTCTGTGTGAACATGTAGTGCCCCTAGGAGAAACCAACTTAGCAAGCTCATACTGTGTTTACCAGTTGTTGATTGTGGTGGGTTTTTTTTCCGTTTTGTTGTGTTTATTTTCCTTCCAACTGCAGCCATGTCACGGCCAGTGCACAGCTTGTTCCCCGAGGCTGCGTGGGCCAGCTCCTTCTTCCCTTCCCTGGCGCAGACACTCGTAACCGACTCACTTGCCAGTCTGCTTGCCACCCGAGGATCCTCCCCCAGGCTGGGGTTTCTTTTTAGTTTGCACACAGTGAAACTGACTCCTGGAAATGTGGAGTTCTGTGGGTTCTGACAGATGTCACCTATCCGCCACCGCAGCATCATACAGAGGTCTGTCGCCCTAAAACTGCCCTCTTGTGACCCTTCTGAAGTCCAGTCCTCCCCCTCTCCAGAGCACTAGCAGCCACCGAGCTGTTTTATGTCCCTGGCTTTTCCTTTGCCAGAATGTCATGTAAATGGAACCATAGAATACGTAGCCTCTGCGCCTGGCTTCCTTCACTGTTAAAGAACACGCACTCGGGATTCTCCCGTGGTGCGTGCATCGCTAGCTCGCTCTTCAGACTGCTGAGTGGTATTCCGTCATAGTACGAACCCTTTCCACTCACCTACTGACGCACACCTCGCTCGTTTCCAAGTTTGGGCCATTGCAAGCAAAGTCACTGTACACATTTACATACAGGCTTTGTGGATGCATACTGGGATCAGTCCCTGAGGGAGGGGCAGCTGTGTCACAGAGCGATGTCTGACTTCATAAGGAACTGCCCAACTCTTCCCGCGTGGCCGCCCCATTACACATCCAGCAGCACGTGAGATTCTGGTTGCTCCATGCCTTGAACACTTGGTATCAGCAGGCTGCAGCTTCTCCTTCTTTACGGGAGGAGAGGTAATGCTCTAACTTGGTTTCTCCTGACGCCAACACTGACAACATTTCAAAAAGTGTAGCCATTCTAATGAGGGCGTAGTGGTAGCTCATTATGGATTTAATCTGCATTTTCCCAAGAACCACTGATGTTGACTAGAAAGCATCTTCTCATATGCTTATTTGTAATCCGTTTTCTAAATTGGGTCGTTCGCTTTCTTGCTGTCAAACTGAGAGTTCTTTGTGAGACAAGTCCCTGACCAGACAGGTGACGGATGGACGTTTTCTCTGTCACTTTGTTCATCTCCTCAGTGTCTTTTGCAGAGCACACACTTTCCATTTCGGTCAGATCCAGTTGTGCCACCGTTTCCCCCTGATGGATGGAGCCTCTAGTACTGCAGTTAAAATTCATGGCCAGATCCTAGGCCCGGGGATTTTCTCCTGTTTCCCTCAAGGAATTTCGTAGTCTGAGTTGTACTTTATTGTTCTGGGAAAATTGTATATAATACCTTTTCCATTTCATTTTCCGATTGCTGGTCTCCCGCGACGTTGGGTATGAATGCTAAACATACTGAAATTCACACACACACTCGTACATTTACGGTACACACACGTTTAGGAAACAGCTGCATTACACTAGGGTGGGAAAACCTCCCCTTTTCAAAAAGCAAACGATAGGTATACCATTTTAAAAACATAAAACGTGCCCCGGGCGGGTGGCCCAGCTGGTTGGAGTGTCATCCGGTACACCAAAAGGTGGCAGGTTCGATCCCCAATCGGGGTATGTACAGGAGGCAACCAATCAATTTCTCTCACTTTCTTTCTCTTCCTCTCTCTCAAAACAAACAAACAAACCCATATCCTTGGTTGGGAGTGGACGTGGGAGGCCGCCGCACGCGTACCTGCTGGCGGACCGAGTGGCTTCAGTGTGTCGGAAAATGACCAGCCACGTGTTAGTTACTCAGGAAGCCCCTCCGGCCCCAGCGCGGCAGGTTCTCCTAAAGATGGGGTGCAGCTCTTTCTTAAGGTAGCAGCTGGAGCTCCTGGAGCCCTAGGCCATGCCACTGGCCGGGCTCCCTGTGGCAGACTGAAGCTACACTGTTGCGGCACTACGAAAATCAAATGGCCCTGGCCGGGCTGTTCAGCAGTTAGTGTCAGAGCCTGCGGACCAAAGGGTCGTGGGTTTGATTTCCAGTCAAAGGCACGTATCAGGGTTGTAGGTTCTATCCCCAATCCCAGTCTGGGTCGTGCGGGAGGCAACCAATCGATGTGTCTCTCTCACACTGAAGTCTCTCTGTCGCCCTCCCTCCCCTCCACTCTCTGAAAATCAATGGAAAAATATCCTCAAGTGAGGATTAACAAACAAATTCTAAAAAAAGTAACTAAGACTGGCCTCCATGTCCATACACCTGGTAGAAAAATGAGATGAGCACGTTCGGAGTACTGAGGACAGGACGGTCACAGGTCTAAAAGCCACTCCTACTTCGCGTCCGCAGCTGTGACGAGGAGAAGGGTGAGCTCGGACCCCAGCGGCCGGTTCACACGACGACCTGGGGGCCGCGGGCCTTCGCAAACCTTTTTACAAGGACTGCTTTAATGCTTTTACCATAAAAACTTGAAAGAACAAGTCCAGGTGGAAAATTGGGAACCGACAGGTGTCGTGTGAGGCCACAGCGCCTGGGTCGGATCGCCGAGGGCAGGCCGGGGACCTCACTGTCCCAGCGGTTTGCTGGGCGGCGCCTGCACCTCCCTCGGGAGCTGAGGTGGCATCTTGGCGTGAGCGAGTACAGGGGCTCTGTGACTGTCCCTCCCTCCTGGGCTTTCACGTCCTCAAGGACAGGAGTCCTACCACCCTGGGCACTCTGGGAAAATGCCATCCGTGTGACAGTGATAGCCAGGTAGCAGGGTCCGTATGTCTGTCTAGGGTCAGCACTTGTCTGTTCTCTTGACCTGAGCTTCAGGTGTGAACCTGGGAGAGGCCCAGACACCCCGGCTCAGTGGCGCTCAGTCCGCACTGAGGAGGCACCCTGGGCCTCGACTGCCCCTTGGCACGTGGGGCCAACGTAACCCCGCCCCCTCGCCCCGACCCGGGTGGTAAGACTCCGTACAGCTTCCTCCCAGCCCCAGTGGACGCCTCATCCATTTGTGAGAAGACTCCCAGTGGGAAGGGCAGTCCCATGCCAGGGTGGCAGGCTGGGGTGGGCATCGAAGGCCAGCTCTGGCGAGCCCTGGGCCCCTTCGGCCATCGAGCCTTCAGGGAGGCCTAACGTGCTGCCCACACCTCTCCTGCAGTGAAGAAGAGCCCCGCACTGCTGGAAGTGAGCACGCCCCAGTTCACGAGAACCAACAGCTTTGCCGAGGACCTGGACCTGGAAGGAGAGACACTGCTGGCCCCCATCACCCACATCTCACAGTGAGTGCCCGAGCCCGGGGGACGGGGGGCTCAGACCGCTGCCCGTGTGCTGCGCCGTCACAGGGAATGTCCAAGCCCAGGGGACGGGCTGGAGGGCATGAGACTGTGGATTGTGCTGGGCCAGAGCTCAGGTCGACTCGCCCAGTGCTGCCTTTAGCCGCCTGCACTTAGGGGCCACAAGCCACTAGGGTCTGTTGGCCCCAGAGTCGGGCAGCAGGCGGGAGGAGAGCAGGGGCATCTCCCGCCGCGGCTGGAACATGAGTCTCCTGTTCTGACTTATGGAAAACCAGACCGATCATTTTCCACTTGTTTTCGTGCTTTGAGTGTCTGAGATTGTTTTTCTCTCCCCCAGCCCCTCCTCTGCTCCCCCAAAAAGAGACGACTTTGTTTTTGAGCATTTCCCCATGGAACCCTGGCCAAAGCCCCGGGGCAGATGCCGAGCGCCTGCAGTTGCCGCGGCCGTCCTCAGGGGCTCCTTCAGGAGGAGATGGCCGACGGTCCACGCCCCCGGGCGGCCTGCCGAGGCCCAGCTGGCCTGGGGTGCGCGCCTGGCCTCCGCTGCTGGCACGGCGTCCCCAGGCTGTCCCAAGGGCCCGCTGCACTGTGTGACCCAGCGTCCTCTGCCAGGGCACCCAGCAGGGACAGCCTGGGTGGGTCAGTGGGACAGTGAGGCTCGTTCTGGCTGGCACCCACCTGGGGTTCCGCAGAAGTCCTCTTGTGTCAGGATGGGCAGGGCTCGCTCAGCACTCCGTCCTGTGCGCACAGTCCACTGGCGTCCTCTGGTTCTCTGGACGCTCTGGGCTCCAAGGCCGTCCCGAGCCGTGGGTGCCGCTGGTGGAGCGTGGCCCTGGGCCTGCTGCTGCCGTGGTGGTCGGCGCAGCCTCTGCCTCGCGGTGACTCAGGCCTCGGGACCAGAACTGCAGGGCGCCCGGAGGAGTCGGTGGCGTGGAAGAGAAGGCCGCGGCTGTCTCGGGGCGGTGCTGCGATCAGATAGGACCCAGGCCACCTTTCGAGGCCCCTGTGCTCACGGGGAGGCTGCCAGGTGAGCGGTCGGCACGTGCCCGGCACTGCAGCGGCTGCTGGGCCTGCGAGTGGGGTTCTGATCTCCGGGCACGTCCCGGAGGTGACCTGACAGGCTCGCCTGGGACCTGGGTGACAGCAGAGGTGTGGGCAGCAGCGTGAGCCAGGCAGGCTGGGCAGGTCCAGGTCGGCGTCTGAAGGCAGAACACCAGCCTCACTGGCCGAGAGGCCTGTGCAGTCTGGGCACGAGAGGGCCCAGAGCAGAAAGTCAGGGTTCCGGGGCTCGAGCTGAGCACAGCACAGGTGAAGTGCCTGCGCAGAGGGTAGCCCAGAGCTGCCAGGACCACATCCCGCATCGAGGGGCACCCCCAGGCCGCGCTGTGCCGTGCCAACTGCCCTTCCTGTGCCCCGGTGGTGCTGTCGTCCTTCAGTCTCGGGGAGGCCCGGCTCCCCGACACCCACACAGGAGTCAGCCTGGAGCACAGGCCTGGCACCTACCACCCATTCAGCTGGCCTCTCGGGCCTCGCCGGCACCCTGGGCCCTGTGAGGCCCCTGCAGAAAGGCCCACGTGAGGGTGGTGAGGCGGCGGGCTGGGTGCCCACAGCTGCCCCGCACAGTCGCCCCCTCTGGGGTGAGGGCTGTCCATCTGGCACCAGCACACACCCAGGGGCTGCCCGCCCGCCCGCCCAGGGACACCCAAGAGGCAACCCAAGGCAGCTCGGCTGCAGGGTCAGGGGCGCGCCCGTCTCCGGTCCCTTCCGCGCGCCAGGCTGTCGGATGCCAGCTCTGCCTGCCGTGGGTCTGGTGTGCCACCGTCCCGCGCCTGCTGCGGACTGCCCAGGCCTGTGGGGGTGGGGGCTGTGGCGCGCTGGCTGGGCCCAGGCGGGACCGAGACCCCAGCCCGCATCAGGACCCCGAAGGCCTCCGCGGTGTAGACACGCTGAGCAGCGGCGCTGGGTGAGCCAGCTGGGAAGCAGAGCGCAGGCGCCGTGCTCGGGCTGGGTCTGCGGAGGGCCTGGGGCGGGGACCAGGGTGTCCTCAGTAGTCAGGGTACCTACCATCCCTCCGGGGAGCCGTGAGAGGGCTGGGGCCCCAGGGCTACAGGCCAAGCAGAGGCCCACCCCACCACGGCTGGAGGCGGCGGCAGCCCCAGTGGGCACCGTGTTTCCTGGGGGCTGCGGCCACCTTCAGGGCAGGGGGGAGGAAGCCAGGCCCTTGTGCCCACCCTGGGGCCCATTCCTTTGCCTCCTGCACAGACTGCCTGGTGCTCGACGCCCCAACCTAAGCACCCCCGCTGCGTGGGGACAGCCCGTGCCCGCCCGGGGAGAGGCGTGTGCCCCGGTGTGTGTGAGGGGCAGGGATGTGCACGGGGTCTCGCAGGGGGCACAGCGGGCGGGAGGGAGTTACTGAGAAACAGATCCATTTTTCTTCGGCATTTTACTGATGTTAAGTGTATTACCACGTTGGGCTAGTTCCAGAATTCAAATTAAAAGCATAAATAAAGACACATTTTGTTTCCATCTCAAGCTCTCCCCGCCCGAAGGGCCCCAAGGAGGTGAGGTCACCGCAGCCTTGATTACGGGAAGGTCCCCGGGGCTGGGAGAAGCTCCGCTTTCCGGGGCCTGTTGGCCACCGATGGAGCAGGGGTAGGGGCCAGAGGTCAGTGAGCTGACTCGCTGCAAACCAGGGAGTCCCAGTGAGCTGAGCTGGGGTACAGTGGGCCGAAGAGAGTGGCCTTAGCCACCAGCGCTGGAGGAGCCCAGAACCCCGTGCAGCCCCCCACATCTCAGGCCGAGTTTGTGGTCTCACAGGCCAGAGGGGGCGCTTCCCGTGCCTGTGGCCCCCCTCAAAGCCTTGCACGGGGCTTCTGAGGGGCAAGCATGAGGTAGAGACATGTAGTGCAGTATGAGGACTATGTGAGCTCCCCTCCCCAACTCCATGAGCGAAGGGGAGCCCTGAACCCCAACAGGAGCCGGGAGAGTTCCCAGGCTTCTGCTCCACCCACCATCTTCTGCCCACCAAGGGTCACAGGCACAATGGGAGTAGGAGAGGGTCACTCTTGTGTGTCCCCGTGCCTTGTGGGTCCCCGTCTGAACACCCTGATCACCCATCTGCAGCCTCAGGTTCCCCCTCACCCTTCCGCAGCTGCTCGGCCTCTGAGGCCCAGGGAGCCTGGGGGTGCAGCCGTTCTGCTCCCGCTCGAGGCCCTTGGTCCCAGCTCCCTGAGCTGTCGGCTTGGGCCCTGTGATCCCCTTGGGTATGTTTCCTTGCCCACCCCCCAGCTTTCCTGGGGAACAGGGCACATGCGGCCAGCCCTCTCAGCCTCTGCTGCCCCAGCACCCCTAAAGCTCCAGGCCAGAAGTAGCTCCAGAACCACAGACAGGGGCCCCCGCCAGGGCCTGCCAGCTCCTCCCAAGGAGGGGCAGGGGCTGTGGCACCTCAGTGCTGGCCCACAGGGTCGGAGCCAGCGGGGGCAGAACGAACCCCGCTACGAGGCACTGTGGTGCTGAGATCGGGGGCTGTGGGTGGGGTTGGCTTGGGTGTCCTTCTCCTGGCAGCCTTGGAGGACTGGTCCCCAGCTGCGCCATCATCCAGGACCAGCCTGGGACCCACGTCTGCCCATCAACTGCATGGATATCCCCAAGACTGGGGGTGCAAGAGGTCAGGCCCTCCGTGAGCACAGTGGCTTGTGGTTCCCCGAAGGGTCCCCTCCAGCTCTGCTGTCACGGCACCTCGGACAGGGGGACCCAGCTCGTTTGCCAGCATCCTGCCCTGCTCTGCAGGGTCGTGCAGGGCAGAATCTGGGCCCCGATGTGGGAGGAAGGCCGCGGGCAGGCCGAGGCTGGGACACGCCGGAGGTGACCGTGAACACCTCTGCACACATGTGCGCCCCAGCCTCCTGAGACACGACAGCCGTAGATCCTTGAGCAAAACCAGCCCTGGGTGTGTTAATTAGAATTTCCATGTCTTCAACTTTCTCTGGACCCTGCAGAATCTCACGCCAAAACGTTCCAGTTTCTCTTTTCCAGCGAGGCCGCTGTGGCCTGGCTTTCGTCCATATCCCTGCTCATGTCTCCTGAGTTCTGTTTGTCAGCGAGGCCGGGGCCAGCCCATCCGTGCCTCCTGAGTTCTGCGTTCATCAGCGAGGCCGGGGCCAGCCCATCCGTGCTTTCTGGAAACGGGGACAAATGTCACAGGGCTCGGCCTGCACTCGGCTCCAGGGGCCCCAACACGAGCTCTCTGAACAGGACCGTCTTGCCTACGACATTTCGGGGCCACTCGGTTCCCACTGTGACCCACGCCCACGGACCACAGAGGCACGGGCGCTGCACCTCTGCCTGTTCCTTGCTCTATTTCTTGCCCTCGAACGTTGGTGGGGGAGGCTGGAGAGGCTGTTCTGGGGCCAGTGTCCGGGGGGACGTGGGAGGGGCTTGCCAGGGACAGAGCAGACCAGTCTGTCTGTCCAGACTGGTGTCCTGTCTTCTTCGGAGCTCAGACCACCTCCGTCTGCGCGAGGTGCCAAGGCGGCCCCGAGGGAGGGCTGTGTGACTCACAGGCTCCCGTCCGAGCCTGACGGCCCGGCTGGGCTCAAACCCGGCTCTGAAATGCGGGGGGGAGGGGTTACATGTTCTCCTAATTAGATTAGGAGCGAGGCAGCGTGGCTCGGTGGGAAAGAGACTGGCTGGGACTGGGGTGCCCTCAAGCTGGCTCCCAGCCGGCACCGGCACAGCTGCAGGCGGCCCCGGAGGCCCCCAACCTCGGGGAGCTTCATCCACCCGAGCAGGGGAGGAGGACGCGACCGGCCTGTGGGCGCCGCTGACCCGGCGGGTAGGCTGCTGCCTGGAAGGCCCAGAGAGCGGGAGGCGCCTCCCTTCCTCCGCCACCCTGACCTGGTGCTGCGCCCTGGGCCCGGGCTCTGCCCTCGCCCTTCTCAGGCCCACGCAAGGCCACCTGGACCAGGGAGGGGGTGCACCCAGCC